TTTATTTTATTTTATTTTATTTTATTTTATTATTTTATTTTTTATCTGCACTCAGTTGTTACCGATTCTGCGGTGACTGCCTGGACGAGTCCCTGCAGTTTTCAAGGCAAGGTGTTTCGGAAGTGGTTTGCCATTGCCTCCTTCCCAGAGCAGAGCCCAGCTGGCGAGCGCAGGAGGCGGGGTTTCTGTTGCTTCACGCTTTTTTCAGGCGTGTGCAGCTTCCACGTTGCTGGCAACTGGTCCCATCTCCTTTGCAAGGCGCCGCCAGCATTTTTCCTCCCACCGGGGTGAGAGTACCCATTGATCTACTCACGTAAGTTTTCGAGCTGCTGGGTTGGCAGGGGCTGGGGAGGAAGCAGGAGCTCACTCTGCTGCGCGGAGCTGGGCTCAAACCGCTGAGGTGTCGACCATTTCTGGCCGGCAACTTTCAGCGTCATTAAGCCGCTGCGCCACCACATCCCCCCTTTGTGAGTTATTCAAGCCTAATAATAAATCCTTTCTTTCAAATGAATAGTTTTGTTTATATTCTTTATTCAAGAAAAAACTTGCTATGGTCACAAATGACTGATGTTTTATAGGCTGGCCCTCTGTAAGGACTCTCATGACTGATAATATATAGTGACTTGGACAAATTCTGGTCATGCATAAGTTAGAGAATAAAAAAACAGTGCCATACATTTAGCTGGGATTAACTAATGGAGAAGCTATTTAGATTGAACGAAATGGAAATAAAAGGTAATAGTTGCCAAAGAGTACACTTTTTTAATGTAAGTGCAAATCCTTTGATTCACTGAACAATGTTCTGGGAATATTAACTATGAATCCATGTAGAGATGCAAATGATTGGCTTACATGTTTGTAAACATCTAGAACAAAGTTGGCAGTCTGATGCTTATTATACCTGCTAAATCTTTTTATTCCAATGGGTAGAAATCAATCAATCAATCAATCATCAATCAATCAAATAAACAGTAATTAAATGAGTTTACAAACATTTCCCTTGAAGCCCATCATTGCTCCTGCCCCGTGTAATTTTTGCATTTTAAATTTTAATTTAAAAATTAATATAATGCTTACATTCCACAGATTTATTAGTTTCTAGGATAAGCTTTACTTTATTAGAAGGATACCTTTATTGTAAAATAAAATCTGAAGGTGGCTGCAGTTCACTGACTAGTTTCAAAATATGCTCAGATGTCCAGGTTAGGGAGAAAATTATGCTGGGGAAGTAGACATTTCAGGGATAAGAAAGATGAACAACAGCAACTTCACTAGTCTGCTTTCCACTAAGCAAGTACTCTATGACTAGCCTTGTGCATCCATTTAGTTATACTTGATTGTTGCAAGTATAGATATTAAAATTTTATGAAGTTAGTATTGTTTTGCAATACTCAAAACAGTAAAGCTGAAATTGTAACACTTTCAATATGAAGCTGCTATACACATTTTTCAGCATTTTTCACTACATAAGTATCAAGAGTGCAAAAGCAATGCCTACAGCAATTAACAAATAAAGGTCAAAGTGGTTGCCTATAAATGCTACTTTTATCATTATCTACATGTCAATAATGACATTATCAAGAAAATACATTTTGGAAGTTTGTACCTTTATAGAGCAAATTGTTCCCCCAAATGCTACAAATTATACTTAAATTTTACTGGATTGAATTATTAATTATGCACAAAACAAATGAACAACCGATTCCTCCCCCTTGATCATTTCAGTATTGCATTAGTTAGTTTAGTGCTACATGCTAAGTATCTTTGTGTTTATTCCTCTTAGAGAATTCATACATGAAAAAAAATTCTAAGTCATCTAGCCTCATCCCTGTCCAAAGACACAATCATCTACTTAATTGCTTACAACCAATCAGTCATTGATAATGGCTGCACCATAATCCCAAACATATTTAGCAACAGTTATTCTGATACTTATTTCAAGGTCTAAAGCTTAGTTAATTCAAAATAATTGACAAAATGCCAAAAACACAACCAGCAATTTGAATTTCCAAAATAATATTGCTAGATACAATTCAATGACAAAGATTTAGTACTGCATGTACCGGACAAAATTAATGTGATGTTGATCATGAAGCTTGCATTATATTAGTAAAAGCTGCATTCTGATGCAGGATATAGGTTTTTACTGTTAAGTGAGATGAGTAAACCCATCCCAAACCCTAGAGGGATGCTGAACAAACCTAAGCAGTTTTCAGTATGTGTGTAAAATAAAGGGCAGCAGACTAGATAAAATTTAAATACTTCAATTTCCAGTTATTAGTAGTCTTAAGGAAAGGGCTGTAACTTCCAAAATCCACTGAATCATGTTGCAAAATTGCATGCTTTAATGGGATACAGAAACTGACAGTAACTTAACGTTTCAGCTCAGGAAGACTGGATCAAGACAGGAACGCTATTTGGAAAACTTTTCTTTGCAGTGAAATTAGCAGACCAAAATGGATATCTATACGTGTCAAACAATAGACAATGTAACTTCCTTTAATACTGATACTAACCAAGATAAAACTTTTTAATCAGGAATCCAAATGATGAGCTACACAGTTTCTTCAGAAATATTGCATAGCTGGAAGTGTGATTTCATTTAATTGAGGAATAGCTTACCTACGGATGTTTCAGTTGTGAGCTACAGAGTCCTAAATACTTTTGCAAGTTAATTAGAACAAATCCAGCATCTTTAATATAAAGAAACAAGTAGCTAAAGCGCTTTATGCTTCTTGATCAAAACAACAGAAATATAGATGGCTAACTGTTGTGTTCTATGGCCATTTATAGTAATGTGCTCAACAGAAGCTGAATATAACTAGTGCTAGAGACACATAAGACATGAACTGTCAGATCTCATAACCGAAGTATTTTTACTTGCAAGGATTACCGTACACATTTGCTTCCTATACAATGATTGAGTTCAAACAAGGCGAAAACGTATCTACCAAGTTAAGGTTTAAATAATTAAGAATGTTCAAAATATTGATCATATCTAAAAATTAAATTTACTTCCACAGTAAATTGTTTATCAGTCAACTTTTACCCATAGGAAGTCTTTAGGGTTTTTTTTTTTAATAAAGAGGTATAGTCCTAACCTTTCAGAAGCATTATTGAGCATCGCTACTAACACCTGTTTTAATGCAAGCAAACTGTAGCATACATATCAGGTAACTTGAACTGATAGATCATCTGACCTGGAGTCTGAGTGGGAACTTTCTGGCATTAAGTGCAAGCAAGATCATTTAAACACAGTTATTTTCAGTGGTTTCACTGTGTATATTTTTGAGAGAACACATCTTGCTTGATGTGCTATCTAATCACATTACAGAGAAATTTAAATCATATTTTCAAGCAAAACTTAAGAAGTATTTGAGAAATACAAATAAACCATGTTAAATTAAACACTTATCCATTACAAATCAATATATTATTGTTTGATCAGAGTATGTTACTAAAGCATTATGGAGTACAATTTAATTAGAATTCTTTAGAAAAGTTTTTGAAAATAAGTAACATTTAAGATATTCATGAAATATAAAAGCAATATAAGAAATAAATGGAATAATTGTTTGACTTAATTGGTAATAATATTTAAAATTACAGTAACTTAAAAGCTAGCAACTTGTTACTGAAACCAATATTTTTTTATAAGACAAAAATATTCAGTAAACTTTAATAATATAATAGCATTAATGTTACCATTTCAACAATGAGGTAACAATAATTATTTGTTTCTCAAATAATACATATAATTATTCCTCATCTGTATCAGCTGTTACAAAGGAAGTTATCTTGCTGCAGCACTGAGGAAATTTCCAGAAAATGCCACGAATTATTTTTTTCACAATCTAATATTTTTTCTTTAACAGAACTAGATATTTATTTTGAGAACTATTTATAAGTGTGATATTAAAAAAGGAGTCAAACATTCTTAAAGCATATGTGCATTATACATTGATTTTTTTCTTACTACAAAGAAATAAAGGATTTTTTATGGACTGAAATCATTGCAACCAAAGTTACAGTACTTAAGATATGCAACTTCGTACCTTAAGTATACCCCTTCCCATACAAGGGGCAAACATTTTAACACTTACCCGTCTACGACAGAAAGGAAGGCCTTGAGTAATGATGCTGATACTAAATATCTTCATCACAGTTTGGTGTGGCAAAGGCTCTTTTGTACTTGGAAGATCAAAAGAAACCAAGCCATGATTTATGGAAGTTTTCCCTGGTTTTGACATTATACTATTGTCACTTGGTCCAAAATTATTTGCAATAAAAGGGCATTACTAAAAAAAAGTAACAAAAATTAGTATCTGGTGCAACTGAGGATTTTAAAGCAGAGATTCAGCTTTTCAGGGCCTGCTTTGCCTTTGTCTCAGTCTCTCCTACTAAGTGTCTTGACCTGTCTGCTGCTAAGTGAAGTGCAAGCTATCCTAGCATAGACAGGAATTATAAACGACTATGGCGACAGACTGTCCCTGCCAATCAAATAGCTATTGGCCCACCCATGCAGTATCACTAACACATATACTATCAAAATAAGTGACATGGAAAAAAAGCAAATGCTTAGAACTAAAACAGCTGAGCTACAAAATTAAAGTCAAATATATAAGTTAAGGTTCTGATAGGAGTTTTAATTGAGAGAAGGCTCTAACATTTTCAGTTACAACAATTTCAAACAAACACACTATTACATCTTAATCATGGAAGCCATGAATAAATTAAGCCTTTTAGGTCTTGAATTAATTGCGTACCTTGGGTATTTGCCTTAATGTGCATGCGTGTGTGTGTGTGTAACTTATCTATGTAAGATTTGCTTAATTTTAAATATATTTTTTTATTGTTAGAATAGTGAAATACAAAGGAAAAAAGTCTACATTAGATTGCAACAGAGGAATAAAGCAGAGAGAAACTATTACTAAGAATAAATAAAAACATCATGGGAAAACATTCTAGTGACACATTCTCCCTTTCTTTCTGTTTGTTTTCCAACTGTTGACCACAACCTGGATATGCTTTACACTGAACACTGAAGATTGCTATTATCTATTTAGTCTATACATCTGTTGTTTTTTATTAGTCTCATAACTTTTTTTAGAAGTCATATTCCAAGAGGCTAAATTTGTCTTGCTGTGTAATGTATAGTATATAAGGGAGCCATTCCAGATTAAATTTGGTTAGATTTCTATTATGGATATATACTGTCAATTTTGCCATTGCTACATATTCTCCAATTTTGCTCTCCCAATCTGATATTGTCAGCAAAATCCCTCTTTTTTTTTTAATATATAATTTTTATTAGTAATTTTGCATGAATAAAAGATAAACATGAAAAAAATATGAAAAGTTAAGAAAAAGATAAAAGAAAAAAGAAAAAGTGCAAGAAACAGTATAAAGAAAATAGAAAGATATTTAAAAGAATAACATGCAATCTTCTTTACAGCAGTTACAAACAAACTTATTGTCTCTCCTCTTCCTTTAAGATTACATTACATAATTCTGTTCTTCCCATATTCAACCCTCTTTAATCAGCAAATCCAAATATCACCAACTCATCTTTTTCCATTTTCAGCAAAAAGTCCATAAAGGGTTTCTAGTCTTTTATAAAAGTACTTATTGTTTCATCCCTGATCAAACAGGTCAATTTTGCTATTTCTGCAAATTCCGCTGTCTTCGCAATCCACTCTTCCATTGGGGGTATTTCAGCATTTTTCCATCTTTGTACATATAGTAGCAGCGTTGCAATTATCATATATAAAACCAATCTTCCATAAGTCTTTTCTAATTGGCTGTCATTAAGTTCCAATAAGATAAGTTCTGGTTTCATCTGAATATTAGTTTTTAAGTTCATTTATTAAGATTGTTCTCAAAAAAATCTTTCAATTTCTTTTTACAGTCCTCCATTATTGATCCCTTTGTAACAAAGTTTCATTTAGCCTCCATGTAGAAGTTCTAACTCTCCTCTTATATGTCAAAGTCACTGGGTTATGGTCTGAAAAAGTCTTTGGCAATATCTCCACTTTATTAACACATGTAACAAGGTTTTTAGAAATCCAAAACATATCTATTCTTGAGAAAGATCTGTGTCTTTCAGAGAAGTATATTTTTTAGAGTTACAATTTTTATGTCTCCATATATCTATAAGTTCAAAGTTATCCATCATTTCAAAAAATATTTTTGGTAATTTGCCTTGTGTTGTTTTAATTTCTTTCACAGAGGTGGTATCTTTTTGTGAGCAAACCATGCCATTCCAGTCTCCCAATAAACACCAATTTTCATATGGCAAGTTAATTAGTTTTTCCATAAGTCCTTTAAAGAATATAGCTCTGTTATCATTTCAGGCATATATTCCCAGTATCATAATCTTAGTTTCATTCAAATTAATTTCAACCCCCACATATCTACCATAATCATCAGTCAATACCAGTTTTGGACATACTTGTGGGTTTATATACAAAACAACTCAATTTTTCTTACTTGTCCCTGCCAGATAAATTCTTGTCCCAAATTTTTATAAATCCAATATTTTTTGTCCTTTTTTCTTACAGGATGTTTCCTGTAAACAAATTGCATCTTCCTTTAACTTTTTCAAATACTGAAATACTTTTTTTGCATTTTGCAGAGCATTTGCCACATTTATATTCCACATTAGGCATTTAAAATCCATATTTATGTGTGGACTTAGAAAAGTCTATACCTGTAGTACACAACATAGTAGTCTGTTCCTTAGTCTCTTGCTGTATTTGCTACATAGCTCCTTCCTTTTAATCCACTTGTATTTCCTCTAATTCCTCGCTAAACCTTTCAAGGAAATCTCTCACCTTTTGCACTGAGTTAAGCTGAAATCTCTGCTGTTTAAAAATTAAAATCAATCCTTTCAATTTGTCCCAACAGAATGGTATCTTTTTCTGTTTAGGTTTGTCAGTCAGTAAGGTGTATTCTTTTCTCTTATGCAATATTCTGATAGGTATTTCTTTGAGCACAATTACATCTGAATGGTTAATCCTTGGTTTAGTATTAAAATGTTGTTGTAGAACCTGGTCTCTTGTTGTCTTCCTGACAAAGTGCACAAGTATATCTTAGTACATTTGTTAGCTTTGCATATCTTGTATTAATTCTGTACACCTTGTCCACTTCTGCATCCATGTCTTCTTCATCCCATTTCAAAAATGTTAAGGATTCAACCACCCTCTCCCTAGTATCTTCACCAGGTTCCTCTGGAATTACTCTCAATCTCAAACAGTATTTTCTCAAACAGTATTTTCTCTCTCTTAATTAAAGCAATGCTACATTATCTAAATCTTTTTCCATCTCTTGGTTTATTATTTCTTATTTTCTAAAATTTCTATTTTTTCCTTGATTTGTTTAATCTCTCCACTCATTTGTATTACAGATTCTTCAAATTTTTTATTCATCTTTTCTTCCATATTTGCAAATCTTTCCTCCATTTTGCCTTCAAGTGCAGCCAGATCTCTCTTAACAGATTCAGTCACTGATGCTGTAACATTCTTCCCCAGTTCTTCAAGCATCCTTTGTAAAATCTCTGGAGTAATCCTTTTTTCTGTTATTTGCTCTGTTAATGATCCTCCCTTCTATGATTTTTGCTGTTTTCCTGATAATTTATAATCCAGAAAGGAAAAGTAAAAAAGTAAAAAACATTTTTTTCATTCTTTTTCATTCTTTTTTCATTCATTTTCATTTAAAAAACATTTTTTCATTCTTCGTATTCTTAACTCTTATGGGACAAATGGAACTTCAGTCCCATTTGGCACTGTTGTTCTATGGTCACATGATCTTTGAGAACCCCTTATCTCTTTGTTTAACAAAACCAGCCAATCTTTCCTCTTAAGAAATTTAAATAGTCCTGGTTCCCATGGAGGTATGTCTTATTTATTTAATTAATTCAAAAATATTTTAAAGTAAGCAGTGTTCCAAATTTGACTGTTCCTTAATCCGTATTAAGCTTTCATAGCTCAAACTCTTGGTAAGCATTTTGCTTTTAATTGCTTTTGAATTCTAATAATAATAGTAATAATAATAATAATAATAATAATAATAATAATAATAATAATAATAATAATAA